ATCCTTCTTTTCTTTATAAATTACCCTTTCTTTTTGTACAGGATTTACCATCTTTTTATTGCCTTCCTTAACCATTTTGTTATACCTCGACTTTGTTAAAAGTCTATTGACTTCGCTTTGTGTATCTCTGACTGTATCTAAGCTATTCTCCTTGCTGATGCTAGGGAATTCCTCGTCATAATTATCGAGTAGAGAAAAACGGTTTTCATAACCATACTTTTCCTTGTATTCAAAAAAAGATATATTTTCAATGGTCATAATTTTTTGTACATCTTGACGATTAACGCGGATCGGACAAGAACGTACTTCTGCGGTATGGTTTAAGGCACCACACAGCAAGCATTTAGTTTGACCACAGGCCGGGTCACAGCGCGGAATAGTGCCACACTGTAAACACCTTGCCTCTTTGGCTTTACAAAACGCTGCTATATGTCCCAACCGCCCGCATTTTTTACATTGCTTGACAGCAGGCACAAAATAGTCGACTTCACAAATGCATTTACATAATTTTACGTGTTTTGGAATTTTATTACCCTTGAAAGCAATTTTCACTGAAGTCGTAGGTTTTAGTTCGCTACCTTCTCTCCTATTAAGTCTACTTACTGATACAATCGCCAAATCACTTTCAATATTTTCAAGTATATACTCATCGGAGTATTTTAGTGGTATTTTTCTTATTATACCATATTTTTCAGTCAAAGATTTTGGAATGTAAGCCAATAAATTTCTGGCTTTGAAATCGTTTTTTGTAATAAAATTATTTGCATCAGTTGCAGTATCAAAAGTCAATTTAGCGCGCCCGTTGCCAAGCGCCCTGAGGTCAGCTAACCCAACCAGAGAGAGATCATCTATCAGTTCCATGAAAAATAAGTTTGAAAAAACTCTTTTCCTTATGCCCCTTTCATCAGGCAACACTTCCAAAAATACAATGTACTTTACCTGGTCATTCGTCTCATACAGTAAAGACGGCTTTTCAACTTTGGTCAGTAGCACGTGCCTCGGATTGATGTTTGAAGCTCCAAGAGAGCTTTCAGACAACTCCACTTCGGAATCGCGCGATTCCCCTGTCGCATCCATCAAAGCCTTAAGGTTTACCAATTCTTTTGTACAAGGACGTTTTCCACTTCCAACATTGCTTTTTCCTTTAGAATTTAAGCGCTTTTTTAACTCACGAAACCTAACCTCCATCGGGAGGAAGGCAGTCAGGAAAAACAAGAACCAACTAGTTCAGCGAAAAATGACTTGTTAACGAGAAAATGAATATATTATACTTATACACGTGTATTGCGAATATAGGTGTGGAAAATTTTGCTTTGTTTAAATTTAATAAGTTTGTCAAATAGTTTTCAGTCCGGAAAGTCGAAACGAAGCGTGTATCTCAATTCGGCGCCAAAAACGAAGTGAAAACATATTACTGAAACATAACAACTCCTACCCATTGTTGCTGAGAAACATAATGCTACACCTAGTGTCATCTGTATAGGTTTAGTAATTCTTATGGAATATCTAGCATATTCTAAACAATTTTCATTAAAAGACCAAAGAACGTAGATCTCTAGATTTTGGTAACCGGCAATTTGATGTTTGGTAATTTTTACCATATATTTTAAATAATTTTACACAAACAAAATACATGCGGAAAATTACCGAACGCCAAGTTACCGAGTACTTAGCTAGGTGAAACCGGCCGTCTTCACGTGTTGGAAAATCTCGCTTGCGTGCCGACGCATTGAAATCGATTAAGCGGTGACTGTCCGTCGGTGCACACGATAACTCGAGTAAAAATGGAGTTATCTGAATGCAATTTGGTATGTGTAGTTCTTTTCTGCGTGGGGCGAATGGTATTGAAAATACACAAAATCGGATAATAACCACGCCTACCTCCCATATAACAGTAGTTTTCTGAAATACGAAAACCTTGATATTTTAGTAACTACTGAGGCTTATTAACTCAAAATTGATTAATACTATAATTTTTAGATGAAAAATAAGAACACCGCTCCACCAATTTCTCCCAAATTTGGCACAGTTGTTGGCCTTGGTACAACATACCAAACGGCTGAAAATTTTTAAAATCGGACAATAACTACGTCCACATCCCATATATAACGGTAATTTAGAGAAATACGAAATTTTCTATAAATCAATACTGAAGCAATTTTATTCAAAATTGATGCATGAACGAAAGACACAAGGTCACGCGGGAAGGAAAGAAAGAAAAGTTATTTTCTAGCTGCCGAAATCTCGACGCCATCTTTGTTGTAAGAAGTAAACAACGAAGAGAACGGAGAAAACCGCGAAATTGTTGAACGCATGAATAATCATTTTTATTATGCAAATTCTTCTATAAATCATGCCGCTGTGTTAAATTATTCTTTATCTTATGTGTTGTCACACGTTGTCACAGGCGGAAATGAAGAAAATTGCAGTAAAAAGCCACCACCAAATTGTAAACAACGAAGAAATGTAAACAAACGGCTAAATGCGATTCTAATGGGCTACTGTCCTGCCCGCGTGATCTATTTTTTGGTTCATGAAATTGATGTTTGCAATAATTCTTTTGCAGAAAATACGTTTGTGATGCGATTTTGGAAAATAGGCGTGGAACCGCCCACTTATGACCACATATTTGCATCTCGGTTAACGTTCGATCATTCCACGAGAAAGCTTTGAAAGAGGATAGTGGGCATAAGAGCACGAGCGAAAATGTAATGCATAGAAGGAGGTACCACAGCGAGCTCGTCTACCTCTGATCTGCGAATGCCCACCTACTTGAGTATTTTATAAGTGAAGATCTGAATGTAAACAATGTTAGGCAATGTCGAACATGTGTCACTAGAGCCAGGCAGGAAGTCTTGGCCTGACTTTCAGCAACGATCTGGGTAATAATCTGATAAGACAATGGTGGGTGTCTTCGGATGGTCCAAGGACACAGCCCTGTATCAACTGACAACCGAGATTCGGGGGGCCCTCGAATGCAATGAATCAGTGCTCTGCGCCTTTCTCGATATAGAAGGTGCGTTTGACAACATGTCACACTCTGGAGTGCGCAGGGAACTAGAGGGGAGAAACGTACAGCCAGCGATCTGCAATTGGATGGATGCGCTCCTGCGTACAAGGATTGCTGAAAGCGAGGTATGGGACAGCGTGGTACAACTTCAGAGAACAAAGGGCTGCCCGCTGGGAAGAGTCTTATCATCCCTTCCGCGGAGCTAAGTGGTGGATGAACTCCTTCAGCTTCTCTCTGACATCGGTATTCACTGCCAAGGCTATGCGGAAGATATTCGTGGTCAGCGTTGCAAGCGAAGTTAAGTATCTGGGACTAATCATAGACACCTGTAAGCGTCTGGCGGGAAAATCCTGGGGTCGTACGCCCAGGTTCCTAAGATGGCTTTACATCATAATAGTGCAGACAGTGACATCTATGGGGCGGTAGGATGGGTTTCAAGAACTGCTCTAGCAACGGTGAGATAATCGCTCACCAAGCTACAACGACTGGCATGTGTATGCATAATAGGAGCGATGCGCACACGTCCGACGACGGCGCTGGAAGTAGTCCTCGAACTTGAGGCTCTTCATATAACCATAGAGCAGGCAGCCAAAAAAACTCTGCTTAACATTGCGAGAGAGGGATTTGGAAAAGGCAAAGTGATTTCCTCTAGGAGTATGGAGAAGTTAGGGTCCTCGCTCCCACTATCCCTGTTACCTAGAGATGACATAGGCAAGGCTATGGTCTTTCAGAAGAGATTCAAAATAGAGCTTTGCAGTAAAGCAACCTGGGGTATCTCCGCTTTCGAGGCACTACTGCAGGGTTGCGATCTGCACTGGTACACGGATGGCTCGAAGACGCTAGAAGGAATAGGTGCTGGAATCGTCAGATCCAGGGCCAGGATCTCTGTTCCTATGGGGAAATATCCGAGCATCTTTCAAGCAGAAGTTTACGCCATCTACTGATGTGCGGATACAATCATGAGTAGAGTGTATAGAAACGAGAGAATCATAATCCTAAGTTATAGCCAGGCAGCACTCAAGGCCATTATATCCTATGAGGTCAAACCTTCGCTGGTCCTGGAGTGCTTTGAGAAGTTTAACTCACTTGGTAGACACAATAACATGAAGTTAGCGTGGGTAACTGGTCATAAGGGACTAGAGGGTAACGAGGCGGCTGACTGTCTCGCAAGAGAGGCGGCAGCCATTACTTCAGTTGGCCCTGAGCCCTTCCTAGGAGTGTGTCCAAATACTCTGAAAGAGGAGGTTACGATCGAGAGGAACACTATGAGGGATCTAAACTCGCAAAGTTCGTCAGTAATGCGCCAGGCAAAGAGTTTACTGGGTGGTTTTAACAGAAGAAGATTCCAAAGTTTAATTGACCTCCCAAAGGGGCAGCTTAAAATAGTAATAGGTATCCTCACAGAACACTGCAGGCAGCAGTACAAAAAAGTTAATTGTAGTCCCCTTTCAGACACGTCAAGTCTTGCTTTCAAGTCTGCTCGTTCGTAGGCGAAGGAGGAGAGAAGAGAGGGGAAGAGTACAGATACCTCCGTACCGTCAATCGTTTCAAGTTTTCTTGTCTCTTTTGTTCTTTTCGTTGCTTCCCATTTAAAGAACCAAGGACTTGAATTCAATTAAAGTTGACGCGTGTGGAAGCAAATAGAAAACACAAAAGAGAATGCGAACAAATTGCTTTCAAGACTTCACGTGTCTGAAAGGGGACGTACTGTAATATGGTCATCTTGAGCGTTTATTTAACAATCCAGCGATATTACCTAGATATTTTTGGTAAATCGGTCAAATGTTCAAGGATAATCGTAACAATATCTTTTACATATATGTACGTATGTATGTACATATTTACTTTTTATTTACGATTAATTTAGGGGATTCGTTTAATTAAATTAGTTTACGGTCTAAAATTTTCATAAACCTACGTTATTATTCTTTTTATTCCTTCCTTCTTAGTACAGAACTAAGTGAATCTGGCAACATTGACTAATCTGACAGTCAGATTTCTACATTTTTTGATTGAAACGAACGCGACGAACACAGTGGAGCAGAAGGATTTCGGTTTTTGGATACCTGTACACTTTTAAATAAAAAGTTAAGTGTAAAAAATTAATTGTTTGCAGAGTGTTCAAAGCAAAGTATAACGTGTAAGTTTTAT